AAGAAAAATAACTGAAATAAACAACAGGAATAAAGAGTGCTAGGGGCTGGAGAGATGGCTCAGCAGTTAAAAGCACTGGCTGCTCTTGCCGAGGACCTGGGTTCAGTTCCCAGCACCCACATGGCAACTAACAACCATCCATAACTCCAGTTCCAGGCTTCAGATAGCCTCTTCTGACCTCTGTGGCCATTGCATGACACCGGTGCACTTACATACATGCAAGCAATATGAATGAAAGAAAGAAACAATAAATAAATAAAATTTTTAAATAAAAGTTTAGAGCCAGCAAGATGGCTCAGTGGATAAAGGCACTTGCCATCCAATGATGCAAGCCTGATAATCCAAGTTTAAAATAGCAAAATTTAAGAATTTTAAACTATGGTCATCTTATAAATAAGTATTTTACTCCTCATTGCAGCTACAGAACTTTAAATATTTTTAAAACTAATATCTTTTTTGGCTTTATAAAATTCACGGATATTACAAATAGTGATTTTATAATTTTATATTTTAATTTTTTTCTTCTTCAGCAAAGAAAGAATAATAAGAAAGTTCGAGTGACTGTGAAGCCCCATTTGCTGTACAGAGTAAGTTTCTATGAGAGAATTTAAAGTTGCTGCTTTTACTTTGAAAGTATGAAGGGAACAAGAATTTTTTCAAGCTATGCATGGTGGCACACACCTGTAATCTCAACATTCAGGAGGCAGAGTCAGAAGGGTGGGTAGCTGGAACCTAGCCTAGGCTATAGAGTGAGTTTATAATCAACCTTGCCTACATAGTAAAACTGTGCTTCAAAAAACAAGCTAAACTCACAACCATCAATAACAAAAAGTTTTCAACATACTGTAAGGAAAATGTTTCATTGGAATTAATAGCTGTCTTTTTTTAGCCTTTAGAACAGCAGCATGGAGTCATTCCTGACCGGGATGCAGAATTTCGTCTCTTTGATCGTGTTGTAAATGTGAGAGAGAATTTTTCAGTTCCAGTTGGCCTTCGGGGAACCATCATTGGGATTAAAGGGGGTAAGATTTCACTACTTGATAATGTCTTCTTCTACGTCCATATTATAAAGTAAAACACATATCTGCATGTTTTGTAAATCTAAGCAAAATAACTAAGTCAGGGAAAATTAAATTCTTTTTTTTTTTCTCTGAAACAGCTTTTTATTAAACAGCAAAACAAAACTGGAACACAAGTTTAGATATTTGTAAATTAGGTCACAAAAGAGATGCAGATTTTTGCAGCATGGCTATTACATATTCATGCAGCTAACATCCATCAAATCTCATACTAATACATACATTAGAATATTCCATGATTAAAAGTAGCCCAAATCTAATATAAGCCACATTAGTGGGTCTCTTTTTCTATTATTGCATTTTAATATTACTTCTGATATTGATTCCTTTATCAAATGGAATCATCAAATTAAATTTTTAGAAACTCTTAAAACAGTAAACTCTAAAAAATTTGTAGCTGAGTTTACAGAAATTCTGGGAAAAATACTGAGAGAAAATAGTAAGGTTGACAATGATTACAAATAGAAAATTCTCCTTTATTCGTGATTCTGATACTAATAATATACTCTGAATACATTTTGCAAAAGTTCATCTCCTGGGTACAAATAAGCCCTGAGACCAAACTTTAACTGGTCTCTCTGATGTGTGGCTTACTTAATCCACTGAAGTCAGACTTCATCCACTTGCCTCTATAGTCCCAAAAGATCTCTGGGCCAGAGGTAACATACATCTAGAGTAAAAACATTTGGAATTGATTACTTCTGTTTACCAAGTTTTCCACCCTATTTCTATTTTTCCTCAAGATTTTCTGTTTCTCAAACACAGATGACCAGAACTCCTGTCTTTTCAGATACCAAATGGGTTTTTATAGCTTCAATCTATTTTCAATTGATTAAAGAAAAACCATCAATCCTATCTTATTACTAAGTATCACAAATGGCAAGCCTTAGCTAAGAAAGTATTTTATTTTGGTTAACTACATCCATATTGTAAAGTAAAATATGTATTTGTGTGTTTTGTTTATCTAAACAGAAAATAACTGTTGGGGGGAAATTAAATTATTTTATATTTTAGGTATTTTTATTTTTAGTTGTATTTTTCAGAGAAACCTCTCCTTTTCTGTCTTATATGATCATCTGGGAAGTGATTGAAAGGAGGAAAAGTTGAAAATGAACTGTTGATAACCTTGTAGTTTATATATATCACTAAAATTACACAAGGTCTTGGAGGGGTATGCATATGTTTTTGTGAAATGAAGAGGAAATTTTCATCACTTAAACTTTAATCTTACTCAGAACTTTATCTTAATTTGCATTGTAATCTATAGGCTTCAATAAGCCTAATATCTAGGAATCTTTCAGAATAAATGTTATTTGTAGTTAGATATATGTACATATTAATTTGACTTATGAGCATAACTAAATTATAACTAGTCATGGTGGCTCTCATCTATAATCCCAGCACTTGGGAAACTGAGACACAAGGATTACCACAAACTTGAAGCCAGCCTTAGATACACAGAGAATTATAGGCAAGCCTGTGCTACAGAGTAAGACCCTGTCTAAAAATAATTAACAAGGCTGGGGAGATAGTCTGTGAAGTGCTTGCTACACAAGACAAAGACCCAAGTTCAAGCCCCAGAACTTACATAAAAATTTGGGCATGGTGATGCAAGATGCTTATAACCCCAGTACTGGGGAAGTAGAGACACATAGATCCCTGGGACTCACTGAGCAGTCAGCCCAGCCTAATGAGATTCCCAGTCTCAAAATACAAGGTAGAAACAAAAAAAAAAAGAAAAGAAAAGAAAGAAAGTTGTGAAATAAATAGTAAAAAGAGGGCTGGGACTATAGCTCAGTGATAGCGGGATTACCTAGCATGCACAAGACCCTAGTTTCAGTCTTTAGCATGAGAGGAGAAAAAAGAAAAGCAAAATACAAGCATTGGAGCGTTTAACAGGGCATCTGCCCCACAAGCTATGGAGCCAGCTGAAGTATGCCAGCTGAGATATGCATCTCCCCTCCTCTGATTCACAAGGGATGCTGAGAGAGACAGGAAGAGATAAGGTCCCTGCACTTTGCCCACAGTTATGCCCTTGGCTTGAATTTTCTCCACATGGCCTGTGTCTCCCCAACCAGCCAGTCTAGAGGGCAGTCTGAGATGGGGCTGAAGGGTCGGGGGCATAAAGCACCTCCTCCAGCTCTGCCCCCACCCCAACCCCTCAAGTCAGAAATATGCCATCCTATCACATTTCTTTCTCTCATCTTGACACAGTCCATGAACTCAGTGTCTTCCCATTCTTTCCTCTTCCCCAGCTCCTGTACAGCATCTACTTCAGATGGCTCATTTAGGAAGTCTGAATTTTCTCTAGCTTGAGGCACAGCTGTATCTGTTACCAGAATATGAAAATTTTTTATTTACTCTTTGGGCCAAAGCTAGGGAGAGAAAAATTCTCAATACTCTTTGCCTTGCTTACAGCAGTGTGAAAATTTATGCATGCCAGATGTGGTGGTAATTCCTACACTTCAGAGGTAGAGGTAGGAGGATCAGAAATTCAAGGACCTCCTTGACTACAAAGCAAATTTGAAGCCATCCTTGGCTATATGAGACCCTGTCTCAAAAAAAACAAAAAAACAAGGAACTGGAGAGCTCAGCAATTAAAAGCACTTGCTGCTCTTCCAGAGGACATGAGTTCAGTTCCCAGCACCCATCTCAAGTGGCGCAGAACTGCCACTTGTAACTTCAGCTTCAGAAGATCCATTGCCCTCTTCTGGCTCCATGGGCACCTGCACATATGTGTCATTCACTCACATAGACAGACACACATACTCATAAGTAAAAATAAAATTTGGGGGGACTGGAGAGATGGCTCAGTGATTAAGAGCACTGGCTGCTCTTGCAGAGGACCCAGGTTGAAATCCCAGCACCCACATGATGGCTAGCAACTGTCTATAACTCCAGTTCCAGGGGATCTGACACCCTCTTCTGACCTCCATGGGCGTTGCACTCATACATATAAAAATAGAAAAATAATAAATATTTTTTAAGCTTTTAAAAAATACTAAGTTAAAGGAAAATAGCTTTAGATACTTAAGTGACAATAGAATTGTTTTAATAGCTTTTGTATAATCCTCATCACTATTATGAGATATAAAATGTTTTTATCAAATCTGTAATCATTATGCCAAAAAATCTGAATTACTGTAATATTTTGCATATTGTTAAAACTGTAACTTTAATTGTAAAAAAAAATTAAAAAGAAAAAAAAATACCAAGTTAAAAATAAATACAAGATGGATGGCCATCCTAAGAAATGACAGACACCTGTGGTAGACCTCTGGCCTCCACAGATATGCACTCACACCAGCACACATAGGTGCACCAAAATGCACACATGCACACACACAAGAAAATAAGCTGGTCTTTCAGTCTTTTGCACAATAGTATGTATATAGTTAATACTACTAATTTACTAAGATGGTAAATTTTATGTTGTCATAAGTTTTTATAGTTTGGGTACTAAGGATTGAACTCCAAGGCACTGTGCAAGCTAAGCACATACTCTGCCACTGAGCTATATCCCCAATCTCTATATTACATACCATGCTTTTTTTTTTTAAATTTTACGTGTATGTGTGTATTGCCTGCATGTAGGTAAGTGCACCAGTGTTGTGCAATGCCCATGGGGGACAGAAGAGGGGGTCGGATCCCCTGGAACTGGAGTTATGGACAGTTATTAGCTGCCATGTAGGTGCTGGGATTCAAACGCAGGTCTTCTGCAAGAACATTCAGTGTTCTTAACCGCTGAGCCATCTCTCCAGCCCCACATACCATGCTGTTTGTGTTTAATTTATACACTATGCTTTTCTTCCACTAAAATTAATTAATTTATTTATTTATTTTTGTCTTCTTGAGACAGGGTCTCCCTGTAGCCCCAGCTGGCCTGGAACTCGCTATGGAGACCAGGCTGGCCTCGAACTCATAGAGATCTGCCTGCCTCTGCCTCCTAAGTGCTGGGACTAAAGGTGTGCACCACAATGCCTGGCTGGTAGAGGTATTTCTAAGGAACTAAATGTGCCGCAAAGAGATGCCTAAAGTAAGCAGCTTTACAACATAAATTCCAAGTAACATCATTCCTAGCATGAAGCAACAAATCAAGTGCCCAGAAGTCAGAGTGCTTGATAACATTGTCCTTCCAGCCCCAGGCACTGAACTTTGTCTCACCGTTGCGAAAGGAGAAAGAACAGACTGGGCACAATTATATTTAATGCCAACAGTGTGCCAGATATATATACATTTTGCACTTAATCCCCATAGCCACCTGAGAGGTTTTTTTTTTTTTTAGGGGGGGGATGGAGAGCTTTTTAAGACAGGGTCTCCCTGTAGCCTCAGCTGTCCTGGAACTCACTATGTGGATCAGGCTGGCCTCGAACTCACAGAGATCTGCCTGCCTCCCAAGTGCTGGGATTAAAGGTGTGCGCCACCACACCTGGCCTTCCTTGATTCTTTTTAATTCTTTTCTTCCTCCCATGAGTACTATAAGAATTTAATTATAAGACAAAAGCACTTCTACATGTTAATTTAAACATAAGCCATTTTTCAGAAAAGAAAGTGTAGTGCAAATTAAAACACCATGAATATCCACTGTAGCTTCTTTTGAGGACTATAGAAGCTTCTAGAAATGGAAACAGTCCCAAAGGAATTTGCTTGGGAATAGACCTTGAAAATGTAAAATGGTACAGAGAATATCATGTAATTTAAAATCAAGTACTAAAAAGACATGCTGATAGTTCTTAATATATAAAACTGATAACAATAGCTTGCTTTATATATCAGTGATTTTAGAAGCAATTTACAAATTTCTCTTTCATAGTTTTGTTTACTGACAGCCAAATCTCACAACTATACTTAAAATAATCAAAAAGCCATCGTCCAAAAACTTTTAAAATTTTAATAAAAATCAGTTGTGGGGTTTTTTTAGGGGGAGGTTTTTTTTTTTTTTTTTAAAGACAGGGTCTCCCTGTAGCCCCAGCTGGCCTGGAACTCACTATGCAGACCAGGCTGGCCTTGAACTCACAGAGATCCACCTGCTTCTGCCTCCTGAGTGCTGGGATTAAAGGCATGTGCCACCATACCTGACTTCATACCTGTTTTATTAAAAAAAAATTTAAACTCAGTGTAATCCATGTCCATTCATACAACAAAAACACAATTATAGAATTTCTTGTCTCAAGCATTTATTCAAAGCAGTTCCATGACATGTTAAAATGTTCTGGCATTAACAGACCTCTAAGTTCCTTCCAGTACTTTTTCTAAAAGAAATGAATAAAGCTGGGCATGGTTGTGCACGCCATTAGTCCCAGCATTTGGGAGGCAGAGGCAGGCAGATCTCTGTGAGTTCTAGGCTAGCCTAGTCTACATGGTTCCAGGCCAGCTGGGCTACAGGGAGACCTTGTCTCAAAAAAGACCAAAAAAGAAAAAAAAAATTTGTAAGCCAAGAACAAAACCTTGCCTTCAAATTCTAATTCTTTTTAACTTGTTACATGTGTTCTCAGCTGCAAGAAATGGAGATTAAGGAAATAATACCTGTCAGGTGGTTGTGGGGATTAAGTGCAACATTGTTGGCATTAAATATGGTTGTTGCCAATCTGTTCTTTGCTGCATAGCCTGAGATGATGTTGAACTTCTGATCCTATTGCCTCCATCTCCCAGTGCTGGAATTACAGGTGTGCACTGCATAAAATTGGGAGTGTTGGATACACAGTGAGTTCAAGGACAGCTTGGCCTTCATCAGACTTTAGCTTTAAAAAAAAAAAAAGAGAGAAAGAAAGAAAAGACCTGGTCTACATAGTTAGAAAGTTCCAGGCCAGCTGGGACTGCATAGTGAGACCCTGTTTGAAAAAGAGAATGAGTTTCCCAGTTGTGAGCAGTGCTACAGAACAACTAGAACTCTCCTACACTGTCAGTGAGAATATAAAGCAGCATAGCCAATTCATGAAGAAGGTAGTTTGGTAGGTCTTTTTTTTTTTCAATTAGAAGGTATTTGTCTGTTTTTATTTTTTTGCCACAAGCTCTCTTTATAGCCCAGGCTAATCCAAACTTGTGATCTTCCACCCTTAGCCTCCCAAGTGCTGTGATTACAGTTGTATACTACCACATCTGACTCGGTTTGTTTGAGACAGAGCTTTGTAGCTCAGACTGGCCTGATGCTTACTACATAGCACAGGCTGACTTTAATTCACAATCCTTTTTCCGCAACCTCCCAAGTCCTGGGATTACAAGCATGTACCACCAGCTAATAAGTTCTTTTTTTTTAACATCTAGTATATATGTGTTTGTGTGTATGTGTGTATGTGCATGTGGCTGCCACAGCATACATTTGAAGGCCTGAGTGAGTGCAAGGAAGTGGAGATCAGAAGACCATACGGGTTCCAGGAATTGAACTCAGGTTGTCAGGCTTAGCAGTAAGTGCCTTTAGGTCCCTGATAAGTTCTTAAAAGGCTGAAAATGCATCTAACCATAAGGCTCGGCCTACATAAACTTTTATTATATGTGTTAGCCAAAAGCTAGAAACAATCCAAATGCTTGCCAGTAAGTGAATAAATTCTTAAGTGCCTATGCAATGAAAAACTTCTCAGCAATAAAAATTTTAAAAACCAGGGGTAGAGAGAGGACTCAGTGGTTAAGAGCACTGGCTGCTTTAGCAGAGGACCCGGGTTTGAGTCCCAGCACCCAATTGATGGCTAACAACCATCCGTAACTGCAGTTGCAGGGGAATCCAATGCCCTCTTCTGACCTCCTCAGGCATTGCATGACCCGAGTGCACACGTGCAGGCAATTCACTCATATATATCAAATATAAAAATAACAGCCAGGCGTGGTGGCGCACGCCTTTAGTCCCAGCACTCCGGAGGTAGAAGCAGGCGGATCTCTGTGAGTTGGAGGCCAGCCTGGTCTACATAGTGAGTTCCAGGCCAGCTGGGGCTACAGAGAGACCCTGTCTCAAAAAGACCAA